TGTAATTCTCAGTAGAAGTATAATCCAATAAAATATATATTTTTTTAATAGATGGGCTTCTTATATAGCTTAAAATGTTTTAAATTATTTTTAATGCAAGTTTGTAATAACAACGATGGGGCTCACAATTTATATATCGATACGAGGGATGATCAAAAAGTTCGCGACTAATTGAATAATTTCATAAAAGAAACAATATTTGGTTTCAATTTTGATTATATTTTAAGTTAATCCTCTCTGATTTAAATGCACCCCAACCACCCTTCTGCAATGCACGAATCACGTGATATTAGCGGTCACGTCACCCCTTCCGTAGCGTTCAAAATTTGAAAGATTTTTATGTGTTTCATATTGCTTTCCATGTGAGTTAATTTTTATGACAAGAACAGTTCATTTGTCAGAAATGGTCAAATCTCAGCAACAGAATGGGTGGATAAGAATATCCTTTCCAGAAATAAGCACGGCAACCATTAAAACACAAATCTTCAGTCTCTGGGGAGACCTTTATTCAAGGTGGATAGAGAATAGGTGCCTCCTTTTTATCATATCTAATATGCTTAAAATCAAAAGTAAACGATATCTTAGGTATTTAATAATTATATTATTGTTCAAATATTCAACTATTTTTCAAAGTGTAAATTGGAGGTCTTTGATAGCAAATTACTTAATTAAATACACATATATTTTCAAACTTGCTTTCAATGGACAAGATGACAAGTATCATTTTTATCCATTTGCCTTCCTTCACTAAAACGATCAATCCAATCATTTATTGAATTTATAGGAACTCATTAATCTTAATAAATTGTGTACAAATTATTATATGATACTACAAATTATTATATGATACTGCAGAGGGATTTCAAAGATAAACAATAAATTGTACAGCCGTTTGCTGATCGAGTTCGACTGAAACAACCATTTTTGTCACAAGTGAACTACATAGTGACGTCATTTTCACATTGTGGCGTCACAAACAAGGAAAAAAACTTTAGTCAGCATATCCTGTTTATAGATCTTGTGTATGGCTATGTGTGTACCGAATTTCATTCTAATCTGAATTATGGTTTTGTAGATATAGAGATAGTTCGCGTACATTGATTATTTTGATATATGCTTTAAACAAAATGAACTTCGTTCACAGAAAAACAGAAAAAATGATACTAATAATTTCATATACTTTAATTTGAAATATATCTCCTTGAATTAAAAGTACTATAGTACATTAAAATGTGGACATTAAACTATGTTTTTTGCGTTCTCTTATATGCAATAGTTATATGGAATACTAAATGTAGAACACTTAGAATAATTATACATGTATATTTTTGTAACAGAGCAAAGGTTAAATGGGAAAGATTGTCTCTCAATGTCGGATAAAATATTGTAAATCACTAAGGCGATTTACTAAGTTCCCTTCTAAAGATTTTTATCAACTTCAGTTAATTGTGTGAAGCTGTGAGGTTAGCTCAACGGCGAGTATGTAATCCACTAATCCACTAATCCACTAATAATCCGACCTTTTATGACGTCACTGAGAAATACGTCAAACGATTATCCATACGCACATCTATGACCTCTTGACCCCGTACCTGTATTTATACAGTTATAGATACGCATTCTTTTCAGTAGAGTTATATAAAAGAAAACATTTGCAAATGTAAATATAAAGAGATGGTAGATTTAGATCCATATTTTATGACGTCACTGAGAAATACGTCAAACGATTATCCATACGCACATCTATGACCTCTTGACCCCGTACCTGTATTTATACAGTTATAGATACGCATTCTTTTCAGTATGTCATATAGAAGAAAACATTTGCAAATGTAAATATAAAGATATGAAAGATTTGGATCCATATATTGCACCAAACTTTCTGTCATTAAACTTGTTTCTGTATAATATCCTTGATGAAAAACATGCATAACGGTGTAATTTTTGATGTACACAATTAATGTTCATGTTTTGCTAACTGGTAAATATACATAAAACAATTATGATTACTTTGAAAAAGAAATCCTTGGAAGACCTAATAATTATATTAATATAATAAGTATGCCAAGTACTGTGTAATTCAAAATTTGCTACTCCATCAATAACAACTTTACATGTATGTTTTATTGTTGTAATGTGTTTTCTTTGTAGATACATGATGGGTATATTTTGAGATTCTGTAAAATTATATTATTTTTCTAGTATTTTGAATAACAAATTTTAATAACACCATGCATTCATATCTATAATAATGGTATTGAGTTTAATAAAGAAATATCAGACTTGTTACACGAAAAACTACAATTTTATGTTTAAACAGAAGATCCATTATTTAAAACGTCTTTAGATCCAAGCATTATTTGAAAATAATTAAAATATATATATTAGGAAGAATATTTTTTAAAAATGATAAACTTTATTTAAATTCATTCAAAGCAGTAATACAGTTCATGAGAACTATACAACAACATATTCAAGAACGTCAGATGTTGATACTAAAATTCGAAGTATTCTTTAAAAAAAAATTACAATATTGCATCAAAATCAAAACATCAAAACAAACAAATTTTCAACACTTATATGACCAAACCGAAAAGGGAAATTTAAGTCCAGATTTTGACATCACTAAAACCTGCATATTGCATAATTATGGATCTGTTTATATTCAAAATTTCTTTAAAAAACAAAAAAAAAGCTTTTTTGTATTAAGCATCACCTCTTCTGTTTGTAGTGTATTTTGGAAATAAGTTTGTTGAGTGTTGTAACAACGTTGTTCATTTTTCTCAAAAGTTTTTCTTGAGAATGAAAAAAAATATACATGTATTACTATACAATTATACATCGACTTTAAATTTAAATACGTTTTTGAAGAGTCTTTTCGATATCGAACACACTATGTACAAATATAAACATATTTACAAAAAGAAAAGTCCTTTATAGGTTCCAATAATATACGTAAAATATTAACGTCAAAACAACTTAATAAAATAGCAAAAAATCTTCAGAATACTTGATGTCAATATTCTATTATGTTTTTAAAGACTATATTTTAGTATTAAACTTTTATAAAAACATTCTTTTGTAAGTAAAATAAACAAGGAAGAATCCTTTTACAGGATTCTAAAAATACACTAAAACATAAATAACACAAATAATAAATCTATATATATAAATATTTTTGACGTCCTTTTTTAAAGAAAAAGGAAAATTCGAACGAAGTTTCTTAAATTGGTGTAAGGTTGTTTTCTTTCAAAGAGCATACATATTCTAAGAAAGTTTCATAGAATTGAAGAAAACATTGAATGGGAGAAGATTAATGGGGGTCTATATCTATGTCTATATTTAAAATCTTAATCATGCATCTATAAGTGCATATAAAATTTGTGGTTATTATTTTTCATGGACATATTTGTAAGAACTGTATTAAAGAAATGGATAAAAAAAAATAGCATAATTATTTTTTATTATTATTATTATTATTATTATTATTATTATGAAAATTAATTGTATATTCTGAAAGTAAAAAGAAATGCAAGAAAATCGGTTAAACTGAAATAATTTTATTTTTTGTTATGCATTTTCTAGCATTCTTATTAAACGTTGAAAATCATCTTTGATGAAAATATTGTAAAATTCCATTTAATTTTTCTCATAATTCATGGGTTAATGAAACTCATATGACATTACCCTCCAAAAAGGAAAATAAAAAAAAATATCATTATCTTCAATTACTTAATCGCACAACTGCCACATGCTTGATTATCCTTTGCACGGAGATCATCAGTGTGTTTATCCTTCAAATGGATATTATTCAAACCTTTCAACAAGCAACAAGATAGTCCTCGGTTGAAAGAGACCAACTTGGGTTTTTCGAACCCTATCTTCCACTTAGTCCCACAGGAGTTAAAGGGAAAAAGATGGAGTTTACGGAAAACATTCGAGTGGATGTATATGATTGTTTGCAAGGAAGACTTGACAATTTAATCCAGGCTACATTGGGCCTGAGGTAAGCACACTGAAAAAATAGGAAAGGGCACACGCATGAGCCAATATGAAGAAAACCAAAGTAAAGTTCACCAGCCCAAATTATGCAATAGTTTTTATTCAATTTTAGTTTCAGGCATGGCACAGTTGTTAGAGTGTCTGCTCTAGAGTCGCGACGTAAGAAGTTGATCATGACATCGCGGGCTCGAATCCGACCGTGGGACATTGAGACCGGTCCTCCTGATGAAACCGTAGAAACCGAGTTACCGTATCATAGTAGGTGCCGGCTAGAAAAATATCCCTCCCCGGCCAAGTATAGGACAACATTTGTAGCTACCCACCGGCAAGTGGTGGTATCTCATATTAGTAAAAAAATTCTCATGTGTAACGTTAATCAATATACAATCAATCAATCGTTCAATTTTAAGGTGATTGTAATGATTTTATAGCCAACTTTATTAAAAGTTACTTCTTTTGGTACTGAGGTGAAGACTAAGCAGGTGGCAGAATGAATGACCCCATCTATTTTACGCGTCATCGTCACAGTTCTCTCGACACCATTCCAGGTCCTTTCTGACGTTTAAAAGTGAGTTCGTTCTATGGGGGGGATAACAAGAGATGGTGTAGCATTTCGTTGTTGCCTTTGTCTATACTTCGGCAAGGTTAAAGCCAGACCCATATTGAACTTTTTTTAACCCTTATAATATTGAAACAATCCATATCTACTGTAAATGTTGATAAAAGTGTATCAAATGGTTCAAGAAGATCGTTTACAAACAAGTCGTCACCAAGTTGCATTTGTTTTTCTTTTTCAGGACTTCATGTGACGTCCAGAGTAATTCTGAATAATAATTGAATTGCAGAGTTATCATGAGTTTCATCTGACAAGTTTTCCTAATTTTAAGTCTTGCGATCAAGAAAATTTTTTATATTTTCGTAATCTGCGGGAAAATGCTTGAGTTTCGTGATCTGCTAAATTTGAAAAACTGATCGTCATTTTCATTTATTTAGGAGTGTGTTTGTGTAAGTTGTTTTCTAAATGTTTCCTAAATCGCAAAAATGTAAATGCTTGAAGATTTTATGAGAATAAAACATAAAAAAGCCACACATAACGATTGGTTTAAAGTGGAAATATGTTAAATGTTGAGATCTTCGTATTGATCATCTTGATCTTGACTGTGTGTTAGAGTTTGAAACTCAGTGGTCTGTCCTGTGCTTATAACCTCAGAGTTTACAATATCGGAGTTAGCAATCCCTTCGTATTCATTGGACTGCTCTTCCGGTTCTTCCTTTTCGTCCATGTTAATATCTTGGTACTCCTTTTTCACAATAGCAACACCTGGTGATCAAATGGACGAAAGTTTTAACACTGATGAGTAAGAAATTATTCAATATTTTTTTTTATTTCAACATAAAATTAAAAAAAGCGTGTTTTTAAGAGTGTGTAAACCACTTTAAAGCAGTTACTCACTTTTATAACAACGGTGTTTATAAACAAAAATGATGGTCATCAGAAGAACAAATACACCAACAAGAGGTCCAACAATAATCCAAGCGTCGAGCTTAGTCACAGGTGAACTAAATGTACTCTGCCCTGTAAAGCAATAATTTTCCAAAGTTAAACACATTTATTATGTTCCCCAAACGGAGTTTGGGAACATATTGTTTTTACTATGTTTCTTATTATTATTAAGGTCTTCCGTCTCCGACCTTCTACTGATTCTGTTGTTTCTTTTCCACTATTATCATTATTATTCTTTTTTTTCTTACCGATTTTGTGCAGACGATTTCTCGAGAACGCCTCGACAGTTTTTCATGAAACTTTCAGCAATGATAGAAAGCTATTTGAACTTCATGCTTTTTTTTTTTATTTTGCCGTCGTCACTTCCGGTCGCGAGATATGGCCATTTTTCTGTTTTTAAAGTGTCATTTTGTCCGAGAGTGTTCTCGAAAACGGTTGGAGATTGATTCATGAAACTTTCAGGGATGATAGATTATGACTCCTAAATTTGAGAAGGATATATGGTTTTTGTTGCCGTCGCGTCCGTCGTCCACCGGAAGTAGTTTAAAAATATGCAAAATTTTATTTTTTTCTTTTTTAAATGTTTCTTATGTAGGCAAATAGAGTGTCTCGAGTAATATTATGTCCACCGGAAGTAATTTTTTCCAAACCGGAAGTAGTCCAGAAAATGAGCATTTTTTTTCGAAATTATCAGGGATGATTCCTTCACACTCAGAAAGGAGTTTAAGGTCATTTTTAGTACTTCCGGTCACACCGGAAGTGAATTATAAAGACCGGAAGTTGTTTGAAATTGATACTCTTAATTGTGTTCTCACTTATTTTGAATAATAGATCTGAACACTTTTCATTTAAAGTTGTTTTATAACCTTATCAAAAATCGAGCGGAAGACCTACTCGTTGCTCGCAACGAGATCTCATCTAGTTAAGGTCTTCCGTCTTCACGGAAGACCTTATAGTGATTGTATTGTTTCTTATTATTATTATTCTTTTTTTGACAAAATTTTGTGGACGGGATTTCTCGAAAACTATTCAGCGGTTTTCAACGAAACTTTCACAAAAAATGCGTCATTATATGAAGTTGTGCAGTCTATAATTTTTTTTGGAAATGTCGCTTCCGGTGCCAAGTTATGGACAATTTTCTGATTTTAAAATGCGATTTTGTCGCGCACTTTTATCGAAAATGGCTAAAGATATGAACTGGAGACTTATTGGAGACGATAGCTCATGAATTTCTGGTTTGCAGAATCACCTTTTTGTGCGTCGTCAATACTTCCGGTCGTTATGAGATGCAAATTTAAAAACTCGTATTTTTCTAACTTTTTTGTTTTTAAATATTTTTCATTTATATTTGGTATGCTAATAGAAATCTTTCTTATAATGTTCACTATATAATTTGTTTGAATATTGATAGATCTAAACTTCAGATATTAGCATTTAAAAAGCTGAAGCGAGTCCAAGATGGCGGCTGTCCCTGTCAACTCCGACATTTCCCAATAGGGGTTTTCGTAGTCAGCCGAGCGTTTGCTTGAACGAAAGTAACACAAGCAAAATGAAATGTAAAGGAATACTTGGATTGTCACGTCGTAGTTTCGTTGCAATTCTGTGTCAAACTATGTTCTTCTTAAACGTCATCTATAATTACATTTGACTGGTTCTCAAAGTAGAAAAAGAAAGACTAAATGTGCAAATGCAAATGAAATTCGATACCTAATACCTTCTGATTTGCAACACGTGAAAACAGATCTTTAATCATAGTTATAAGTAATAGTTTTTCTAGAAACAATGTCAATGAATATAGTAGGTATAGAAATTACAAACTGTTTTTCCAATGCACACTTGTGTCATTTTAAAAAAATAGAAAAGACAAAATAAGATAACTGTTTTTTTAAAAGATCGATAAATGGAGTTTATATTAACATTTTTGTCTCAAAGATCTGATTCAAGTTATTGAGCATAAATGGTATCCGATTCCTTGATTGTCTTCGGGCAACACATGTTTTTCGACAAAACATTTCAACCTTTTCATAAAAGCTTAACTAATCTGGATAGTTCATTTTGGGTATAAACAGAATATTTCAAAAAAGTTTAATTCAATAACTGTTTCATTGCTTTAGTGTTACTTGCTTATATACAATATGAAATTTGTAAAATGTGTTAAATATACTTTCTTCACCTTGATATTTTAGCTATAAGAACGTTCTTTTTTTCTTTCCATTGAAGCTTTCACACCTATTTAATGGAACATTCTCAACAAAAGGCGCGACGATTTACTCGAGGCGTTTGACGCAAAATTATGAATAGTGATTCGCCTTTCATAATTCTAAGACAGATGTACTGTTGCAGAAATATAATTATACAAATACATTTAGAGCTGTGGTCCCAATAGCGTCATAGTAAGCGCATTGGATTTTCACGCTGGCGATTCGGGTTTAATCCCCTTTGTTTCCATAAAAAGTTTGATCACTTTTTTCAGCTCGAGTTTGTGGGTTTTTTTTCAGAATCAGACGGAAGACCTCTCGTTGCTCGCAACGAGTTTCTTTTCTAGTTATTATTCTTTTTTCTTCTTATTTCTTCTCCGGTACTTTTTTGTCCGGAAGTGTTCTCAGAAACTGTTCACCAAACTAAGTTAAAACCTTTTTAGGGTTAATGGGTGTGTAGTGTAGGTGTGCGGAACGAAGGTCATTTTGCCCGCATACGCCTGCACGTGCGGGCGCGCGAAGTGAGTGAAATGAATGATATACTTAAAATGGCCATAACTTTTACATTTTTTGATGAAATGCTTTAAAACTCATTATATAAGTATATATCAATAGTGTAGATAATATGACATGGTCAAATTAGCACGAACTCACGCGCATGCACGTGTGCTGCGCTCTGATTGGCTGAAACATAAATCTCAATATCTCTTTTGTTTTTTGACTAAATGCTTTGAAATTTTAAACATAGTCATGAACTAGGATATTCTACAATATGATATAAAAAAAATTCAAAAAATCACGTGCATGCACGTGTGCTGCAATCTGATTGGCTGAAAATTTAAAAGGCTATATCTTATTTGTTTTTTTATGAAATGCTTTGAAATTTAAAAAACAGTCATACTTTAGAATACCCGGCAATATGATGTCAAAAAAATTTCAAGAAATCACGAGCATGCACGTGTGCTGCAATCTGATTGGCTGAAACTTTAAAAGGCTATATCTCCTTTGTTTTTTGATGAAATGCTTTGAAATTTAAAACATAATCATACTTTAGAATACCCTGCAATATGATTTCAAAATAAAATTCAAGAAATCAAGCGCATGCACGTGTGCTGCAATCTGATTGGCTGAAACTTTAAATGGCTACATCCCCTTTGTTTTTTTTTACGAAATGCTAAAAAAATTTAAAACATAGTTATACATTAGGATATTCTGCAATATGATATACAAAAAATTCAAGAAATCACGCGCATGCACGTGTTCTGCAATCTGATTGGCTGAAACTTGAAATGGCTATAACTCCCTTGTTTTTCAACCAAACAGGATTGGATTTAGAACGTAGATAAATATATGGGACTCCTACAAGAAGGTACGGTCATCATGCACGTGAACGCACGTGCGTGCATTTGGAAATAGTGAAATTAAAAATACACTTGAATGAGTGATTTTGAATAGTTATGGACTGAATGCTTTAATATATAGTATATCAAAATATAATGGTAGATAGTGTAGACAAGATGATATGGTCATAACGCGCATGCATTCAAATGCGCACGGGTGCAATGCTAAAATTTGAATAATTGGTATCTTTCTGGGAAAACGTTGTTAAAGTAAAAAATGCGCAGAATTTGTCGTATTTAATGAAGCTCACAGGGAATATGGCACCAAAAGGGAGTTGGGGAGCGTTTGGGGAACATCTGTAACGGTTCCCGTTACAATTAGCACTAGTTATGTTCCCCAAACGAAGTTGGGGAACATATTGTTTTTACTCGGTTTCTTATTATTATTATTAGGTCTTCCGTCTTCAGCGGAAGACCTTACTGTTATTCTTAGGTTTCTTTTCCACTATTTTTATTATTATTGTTTTTTTTTCTTACCGATTTTGTGCACGCGATTTCTTGGAAACGGCTCGATCGATTTTCATGAAACTTTCAGGACTGATAGAACATCAAGCAAATCTGATATATAATTTTTTGATTTGATGACGTCACTTCCGGTTTTGAGATCTTTGCGATTTAGTGATTTTCAGAGGGTCACTTTGTCCGGCAGTTTTCTCAAAAAGCACTTAACACAGAAGCATGAAATTTTCAGCGATGATAGAGCAGCATGTGCTGATGTGACATACACCAATCTTTTTCTCCGGAAGTGCAGCACGTCGGCGCTCGCTATGGCCCGAAAATAGTCCTACCAAGAATTTCAAAATTTTTAACACCTTTTCTACGATAACTTTTTACCTAGAAATATTTTGTTAAAACATGTAGAACAAAAGAAGTGTAGAATTGCACTATCTTTCAAATGATATCCAAGAAAAAGGACTGGCCCCTAAAATAAAGGATCCAGAGGGGCCAAAACGTTTTATCTGATATCTCAAAAAGTGTTGACAATTTGTTATGCATCATAGAAGGGAAGTTGTTCAAAATAATAAATAGCAGAGGCAGAGATCATTTAAAGTCGTTAAAATACCTTCACTTCCGGTCAGGCCGGAAGTAATTGTAAATGGCTCGTTTTTTGCACACATAACCGTAAATGTCTATCAATCTCGATATCATCTTCTTCAGAATTAGACGGAAGACTTATTTGTTGCTTTGCAACAAGCTCGTCTAGTTATTATTATTATTGTTTTTTTTTCTTACCGATTTTGTGCACGCGAGTTCTCGGAAACGGCTGGTTCGATTTTCATGAAACTTTCAGGACTGATAGAACATCAAACAAAGCTGATATATAATTTTTTGTTTTGATGACGTCACTTCCAGTTTGGAGATTTCCGCGATTTAGTAATTTTCAGAGTTGTCAGTTTGTCCGCGAGTTTTCTCAGAAACGGCTTAGGATAGGAACTTGAGTTTTTCAGCAATGATAGAGCAATATATGTAGATG